ATTTCATTTCATTTCATTTCATTTCATTTCATTTCATTTCATTTCATTTATTTTGAGAGAGAGAGAGTAAGAGTGTGTGCATGAGTAAGGGAGGTGCAGAGAGAGAGAGAGAGAGAATCCCAAGCAAGGTCCACACTGTCAGCACAGAGCCCTCTTCGGGGCTCAAACTGTGAGATCATGACCTGGGCTGAAAACAAGAGTCGGATGCTTAACCAACTGAGCCACCAAGGCACCCCTTCCCTCAATTGTTACTAAAGTGGATTTCACAACTGGTTACTTCAAACCAAGATCCAGTCTCATGACATACATTTTTTTGTTGCTCTGTTAAGTTCTCTTAATCTAGAACAACCTCTAGTCCTGTTCTTCCCTGTGACATTACTTGTTGAGATCAAATTACTTGTTACATAATGTCCTGCTCTTTGGATTTCTCTGATTATTTGCTCGGGGTGTCCTTTAACTTGTTTATTTTTCATATTCTTTTTGTTCTAAAGTGCAAATTAGATCCAAAGCCTTGACTGGCTTAAGGTTAGCATTTTTGTCAATACGTTGTAGATACTCATCATGTACTTCCTGCTGCATCATTCTACATGACGTATCCTATCTCGTCTCATTACTAGTGATGCTAAGATGTTTAAAGTGGTCATGACTAGATCTGCTATAAATTATTTTTATTCTCTGGCTACCAGCAGGTAGTCTGGAGAAATACTTTGGCACCGTTTGAGATCAGGATTCCGTTAAGCCTTTCACAAAATAGTTTTAAGATCTATTAAAGCTGTGGGCCACCTGGGTGGCTCAGTTGGTTAAATGTCCAGCTTTGGCTCAGGTCATGATGTCACAGCTCATGAGTTCGAGCCCCATGTCAGGCTCTGTGCTGACAGCTCAGAGCCTGCTTCAGATTCTGTCTGTCTGTCTCTCTCTCTCTCTCTGCCCCTCCCCTGCTCACATCTCTGTCTCTCTCAAATATAAATAAACATTTTTAATTTTTTTTTTCAACGTTTATTTATTTTGGGGACAGAGAGAGACAGAGCATGAACGGGGGAGGGGCAGAGAGAGAGGGAGACACAGAATCGGAAACAGGCTCCAGGCTCTGAGCCATCAGCCCAGAGCCCGACGCGGGGCTCGAACTCCCGGACCGCGAGATCGTGACCTGGCCGAAGTCGGACGCCTAACCGACTGCGCCACCCAGGCGCCCCTATAAATAAACATTTTTAAAAAAAGATCTGTTAAAGATGTAAAATGGGATTTTCTAATTCTGTGTGTTTTTTCAAAAAACTGTTTTCAAAACTAAAATTCGTGTGTAGAGCAATTTCATCAACTGGAATTGTTGATCCTGAAATGTAGTTCCTACTAGAAAGACAAAATACATAGTTAACTTTTTTTTCTTTACCAATTTCTGAGTAAGGACTTTGGGTAAAAACGACCTCCAGCGGAAACAGATGTTATTTTTTCCAGGAAGAGCAGGATTTTTCCTTTATTTTTTTAATATCCTTGACATCTCATGGATTTTTATGTATTCAGTGTGATTCAACCTACAGTTATTATTTTTAAGTTAAATTTGTTCTTTTTGTTGCCTACTCTTTATTAAAATACCTTTGTATACAACTTTTTTGTTTAAATGCCATTCATTATGTAGTCCTTAGGTATCGTCCGTTGGGTCTCCCCTATGAGCAACAAAGAAATGAGCTTCCTTTAGCCTCCTTGACTACCATCCCATTTTAGTCAGTCGTAGCTTTTTTGACCTGTCTTTCTGCTCTTCAGCTCTTTAGATTTACATGGTATCCTTTGACTCTAACCAATCAACTGTGATTGGTTTACACACTTTGATTCTTACACACAGATCATTTACACGCTCTGATTCTTCCAAAACCTTTATTCCTGTCTTTGGTTTCCTCTTAAATCCCCAGTTAAATTTATTCAGTGCTGACCAACAGTGCTTTTGCTGAGTGTTCTTCAGTCCTCCTTCACTTGGCTAAAGCTCATTCTCTAATGGATTACTTCAGAAGAGCTAGCACATAGCTGTCCTTCCTATTATCTGAGTTCTTAACGTGTTAAAAGCTCTTCCTGTAGCCTTGATACATGAAAGACTCAGCTACTTCCAAACTCTTTGGTTTAGCCCTCTATCCTTGGGTGCTCTAGCAAATTTCCATAAACTTGAGGGCTTACAACAACAGAAATTTATTTTCTCGCACTTTTGGGGCCAGAAGTCTGATACCAAGTTGTTAGCAGTGCCGTGCTCCCTCTTGAAGACTTCCCCTGCCTCTTCTAGCTCCTGGTGGCGTGAGACATCCCTTGGTGCCCTGGTTTGTAGACCCATCACTCCATGCCTCCTCCTTCCCATTCTCTCAGTCTGTGTTTTGTGTGTCCTGTTTTTGTAAGGACACCAGTCATTGAATTTAGGGCCTACTCTAATCCAGTGTGACCTTGACTTGAATTACATCTGCAAAGACCCTGTATCCAAATGAGGTCACATTCCAAAGGTTCGTAGCAGGCATGAATTTTAGTAGGACGCTGTCTTACCCCCGCTGCACTCTTTTCTCTTGGTTACTGGTAGAAAATATTGAACTGATTAATATCCGTGTGGGTGCATGCTGAATCCCGTTGGCAGCGAAGCCGATAATCCGATTTTCTTTCCTTTGTAAGGAGCTTGGTATTTTTGCCTGGAGTGCCAAGGAACTTTATCTTGAAAGTCTAATAATAGAACTCTAGATGTCAGATACAGAGTTGGCTTTCTGGGCAGATGTCTACACAGTGTGTCTCTCCGTGTGGACATTTCGGTCCTCTTTTCTTTCAGGCATGATCTTTTGGACCGTAATTTTACAACGGGTTCTATCTCATGGCTCCTGGTTCCCCTTTTCAGAGACCTGCTAATATGTATATACTGACTCTTCTTCCGCTGATGTCTGTGTGTTGCCTTCTCTCTGGTCCCTTTAATCAGTTTTCTCGTTTTCACTTATCCTTTGCCATCCTCCTTGCCTGCTCTGATTTTGGGCCACGCTGTTGCCCTTCCGTATATCCCACCATCTAGGGCTAAGTCTTCAGCCATCTTGTGTTTCTGTTGTTGTTGTTGTTGTTTTCAATTTCTTCCCCGCGTTACGCGAGGGCCCATTTCATTTACTGTGTTCCTACTTCTCTACCTGTCCTCAGTTGTTGTTTCTTTGTTCCATGGTGTTCTTTGGGGTTTTTTTTTTCTTGTTTCTTTCTTTCTTTCTTTCTTTCTTTCTTGTTCTCTAGAATATTGTGTTACCGTTTTATTCTGCGTGATCTGTGAGCATTTTCAAGTAGCCTGGACCGTTTCGACCTTCATTCGTTGTGTTTTCTTCTTCTGGTTTCAGCGGACTTTGCAGTAGTCCACGTTTCTCATTCCCATTTGGGCCGCCGCACGGCCTTTGCGGAGTTGTGGGTAGGTGTTTGGGTGGTTCTCAGCCCAGGAGCTTTCTTCTCCGTTAGGGTGAGGAAGACATTATCTTTGTTAGCAGGCATCTTGTTTTGTTTCCACCCTTCTGCTTTCTTATTTCAGGAGGGCCCTTATCTCCAACTCCTTTTCTTTAGTTCTGTTTGCAGTCTCCCGTCTTTGTCTCTCGTGGAGACACTCACGGAGACATGTCCCGATAGGTGTTGTGTGCCCTCAGGACTTCACTTGGGCTCTGTGTCTTCTCCTGGCCTCCTCTTGTCGCTGCTCTCTTGCCACATTTCAGGCCCGCTTTCGGGAGTTCTCCTCTCAGATGGGACCTTTTCCCTCTGGGGAGAAATCCCGGCCGCTGTTCTCTGACTTCTCCCACCACCGAGAGTCCTCCAACCTCTTGGCATGTCCGGAGCTCCTGCCACAGTCCCCACCCTGGGATCAGCCGCGGCACTCATTCTGCTGACCTTCAGTGTTTACTTCTCTTCTCTCTCTGAAGTTTGCGTTTGTGACCAGTCTCCGTCTTCTACTGATTCCTTAGCTGTTGATGAAGGGTGTGCGTATTTGCCCTCCTTGTCGCTGTGTGTGGTTTTTAGAAAGAAGTGTGACGGGAGTCCAAGAGCCTGCCATCATCTTCGGGGAACTCAGAAACCCCGACTCCGCTCACTTTTTTGATGTTTTCCTGCAGCCGGGAGTAAGTGGTAATGCAGCTGCTGTCGTCCGGACAGCATGTAGCCACGCGGACTGTTTTTCCCCGTGGTGAGTGACTGCTAGAGCACCAAGCTAATGGGGATGATTCTGAGTAAGTCCGTTCTCTTGTATAGCTTGGTAGTCACTGAGGAAAACTTGCAAGCCGAGAAAAACATTTCAAGCCATCTCGAGGGTCTCCTCACCTTCTTATAATTCCTGTTCTATTTCGAAATCTAGAGCATTTTTTTACGCTCTCCAACAAAGCAGATACGTAACCCTGACTCCCCCCTTGAGCTGCCTTATGTTTATAAAGCTCCCTTAGGAGACGGGTCCGATATGCGAATAATTGAAACTACGAACGTATCAGAAATAGAGGTAGTATAGGAGCAAAACCTGTTTTAAGTTGTTAATTATCCAAGGTAACTAGTTTTGCTGCTTATGTCCTAGGTGGTTACAGGTAGGGTTCCCCAGGAGCCAGACTTTTGACGTGGAGATGAGCACGCAGGATGTTTCCTGAAGAGTTATTTGTGTAGCGGAGGGGAAGACGCTGGCCGAGCTACAGGGAGATTGGGGTGCGATCCCAGTGAGCACTCAGCAGCTCACAAGGAGCTCTGGAACCTGGGCATCGTTAAGTCAAGCCTTAAGTAGCCACTGTCTCCGGTTGGGCAGGATCACGCGGCCTTTTTTAACTTGGTCTTCATATTTGCCTATTAGTGTAAAAAAAAATACTAAATATTACTCTGGTTCTCAGAAAAAAAATATTTCCGTTTTGGAAAAAAAATACAAGCAATTCTGTGTAAAAGGATATTTTTCCAGTCAACCCTTTGTACGTTGAGTTTTAGTTTCAAAAAGCTTCAGTGCTGTTAATGGGTATTATATTTGCTTTTCAGCTTGGGCCATGGTAGATGGTGGGTCCAACGTGAAAGCCCGCACTTCCTACAACGAGAGGACCCCGAGGATCGTTGTGTCACGCTCCCATTCAGGAATGGTCAAGCAGGTTGCTCTTCAGACTTTTGGAAACCAGACCACCATTATCCCAGCTGGTGGTGCCGGTATGTTCCTACCCCCCTTGTGGCGCCGGTGCCCCGCGTCCCCAGCACGGTCAGGGCTTCTGTCAGGAGGAAGGATCGCTGGCCCTGTGCTCGGGAAGAAAAGGGAGGATAGAGCGCGTGCTCTCCCGACAGGCCCGGTGCCTACTTGGTAATGTCTGGGGTGGGATCTCAGTCACACATGCCTTCGTATGAGCCACGGTGTCAACAGTAGCAGCACGTCTCAGCCCGGTGACTCCCGCTCCTCGAACACTGAGGCGGCATCTTCACGTCAGTGGCATAAGTCATCACGCTGGGAGCTTCGCTGCAGGAGTATCTGTGAGGAGAGGGGAGATCCAGCACATTCTGATGCTTCGTGTGGCAGAACGATGCCAGGCGTCATCACGAGGGTCCCTACAGTGGCTGACCCGCGGGTCACTTTCGACACCTCTGAACTCTTCAGCCTTCGTGTCCGGGGCGAGCCCGAGTCTAGTGGCCACCCAGCTCGTCGCACGTTCTCTACCGTTTTATTACCTGCGTCACTGATCCGGGGTCGGCTTACTCTCTCTGAAAGGCCAACTATAAATGTTTATGGCTTTACGAGCCACATATGGACCCTCTTGGATGTCTGGGTTTCTGGCACCCTTTAAAAATACAGAAAACCATTCGTGGCCTTAGGGTTCTACAGAACCGGCACATGGCCTGGATGTGGCTCACAGGCCGTTTGCCTCCCCTTGTTTTGAGTGCCGTCGAATAGGACAGAAGTGTTTTAACTCTAATGAGTAACACGTTGTGGTCAGAAACGTGTGTTTGAAGACCTTTTCACCACAGTAATAAAGGAAAAAGTAATGATTAACTTTTAAGCCCAGTAATTTTAATTTAGTGATTACATATAGGTACCTTACTTAATATGACTTCATTATTTTCTTATAAGCTCTCTGTTAGGCTGGTTAGGAAAGGTAAGGTTCAGAATACCTGGTGGGAATGGGATAAACCAGATTCTGGACCTGGTTTCATCTGTGTGTTTTATTATATTATTTTTAAAAAAACTTTGCCTCATTACAATAAGGGCTTCAGATTGTAGTGCTTGGTCTTTCAAATCCAGCGCTCGTGGGTATTTAGATGCATTTAGCTTCGGTGTAGTATTCCGTAGGAAATGAGACATAGTGTATGTATCATTCCATAGAAAACAACCACAAAGTAGATTTAAATTTAAAAAATTATAGACGTGTGTTTGGTTACACTTAAGAATAGCTTCGTAAGTTATTTTGCAGTATATTTTCCACTCATTTAGGTTTAATGTCTGGCTGTTATTTGAAAAAAAAAAAATAAAAAGAACAAAACTATTTTTAGATAATTTTAGACTTAGCCCTTGCAAACAGTCAAGAGAACTCCTTCACGTCCTGTGCCGTTACTTTTAACAATGTACTCTTAAACAGGAAGCTACTCTCTTTAAATCTTGGGAATAGTAACTTAAACTCTGTGTTCATCTTTTAGGTTATAAAGTCTTAGCACTCTTGGATGTACCCGATAAGAGTCAAGAAAAAGCTGATCTGTATATCCATGTGACATACATCAAAAAATGGGATATATGTGCTGGCAACGCCATCTTAAAAGCCCTTGGGGGGCATATGACTACCCTGAGTGGTGAAGAAATCAGTTACACTGGGTCCGACGGCATTGAAGGAGGGCTCCTTGCCAGCGTCAGAATGAACCACCAAGCCCTGGTCAGAAAACTGCCAGATCTAGAGAAGACAGGACATAAATAAGCAAAGCTGATTACAGGTCACAGTTCTTCCCAAGTTGAGCGGTCCGCCGAAACGCCGGGGGCTTCAAAGCATCGGTGCAGACTATGCATGGTTAAGGCCATCCTGAACTTTCTGAAGTATTTATGAAGCATCAGAGACTTATTTTCCCTGTAATAGGATGGAAGATCAGGGAAAATGGGTTGCTTCGTGTCTCAAGTATTGTCTTTATTTTTGAGACGATTTTCGTACAGTTGTCAATACACAAGGCGCATATATATATATGTATATATATATATATTTGTGAATTAAAATCTACAGCTGAGTACATTGTTCTGAGTCACCATTTTCACACAACATCACGAACCTTCACTGTTTGTTCGTACTTTCATATAGAATTGGGCTGAAGAAAGGATTGATTTTGTGTAGATTTAATAATTACAAGTGTATCTCATTGAAAATAAAGTTATTGGGGGTCTTTACCCCTAATGCAGATAGAAAGCACAAGCAGCCACACATTCGTTAATATGCAACAAGTGCTCTATTTATCTGTTGCTGAATATTTCTTAAGGATTAAAATAGAAAAACCTGAAATTGTTTTCATTCTTTGAAATTTTAATGACAGGTTCACCAGCTAGTCGAGAATATAGCTGTTTGATGGTTGAGTTGTAATTGTAGTTTCCGTGTGTGCGTTTTGTTTTGTTCTGTTTTCTTTGGATACAGAACAGTGTATTTGTACCCCTGGGTTCAGCGTTTCTGCCATCTTCCTATTGATTTTCGTTGGCTCTGTGGACAGTGCATGGTTCCATCCTTTCCCTCCTGACCAACATTTAGTTTTAACTCATAAGGTCTGGATTAAGGTTTCAGGGTTAGCACTAGGATTTTGGTACATTTTCTCATTAGGGATAAATGATGCACTATAAGAATATAAATGATTCTACTAATTGACTCACTTGACAATTACATGGCTTAAGCTAGCTTTCGTTATTTTAAAAAAACGTTGTTTTAGTACTTTTTAAACAATTTGCCAGGTTTGAATGTAGAGATTCTCTCCTTACCAAGAATGATTTCTGGTTGCTTTTACCGTTAATAAATGCACCTAACCTAAACTCTCAAGGTAGTAACTTTGAAGATACTTTGAAGTTTCCATTCAGATTAAAATAATGATGGTTAATGTTACTTTTTGATTAATTTTTAAAAATTCGGTGTGTGGAAGCTGGTTGGAAGAAAGGCGGTTGAGTCTTCACTGAGTCACTATAATTAGCCCCTTACTTTGTGAACTGTCTTTCCTGGGGATGCCGGATTTCTCTCAGTGTGAGATCTGGAAACTTTATGTAAACAAATACCGTTATTTCATGTGACTTCGTATTTTATAACATTCTGATAAAGGGGGCGGGATGGCTTATTTTGTTTTCTTTAAAATAGCTTACCATTTATTTTCCTATCTTGGAGGTAAAATTGACCAAAGAATGGACATCCTCGTCTGGTGGCATGTGCATACAACTTTAGGTCTGCGTTTTACACGGTCTCCAAAGCCCTTTACTTCCTCATTAGGGACTTGAATCCGGTAGGATGCACGTGTTTCTCCTCAATATCCAGCAGCTGGTCACCAGTCTGGGAGTGGAGTGGGCCTCAATAGGTGGGATTTTGTTCAGTGAAAATTCATGCAACGTTTTGGTAGTCGGGACACTTGGTATTTAAACAGGACTTAGGGATTCAGAACAGAAAATCGGAGAGCTCACCTTCCTACTTGGCAATGAAATGAGAACACTTTTTCTCAGGAGGGATGGCAGAGGCTTGTATTATTTCCAGAGTCCGTGGTAGAAGCGGTTAATTCTAATGTGTCAAATATGGGGAAACAGGACCGGCATACTAGGAACCGGCGTCTGATTGGGAGTTGTTGGTTGTTTTTGTTTTTGTTTTTTTTCAGCAATAGACGGAAACTTTCTAACTTCATGGAAATGAAACTAGTTCATATTAGCAAGCATGACTGCTTCGGTTTTATTTTTAGTTTCATTAATCTGCATGTAGATAATGACTTATGAAGGGCTTGCGTGCAAAAATTAAGATATTGGCTGGCAGTTAAATGCATTATTTGTATAACTTATTGGGTAGAGGCTAATTACTAATGGTTTTTAGGCGCTTTCATAGAGAGTTCGTTTTCAAATTTTGCTTTTGTTTCCAAAAGTCCGTCTACATTACAGAACCAATAGAAGTACAAAGAACAGTGTTTATATTTATTTATGTGAGACATTGTGCCAGAACATACCAGTGAAACACCATGAATAAGTAAGGCATGTAATATCTCCCAGAATTGCAGAAATAAAATCACTTCTAAAATGTAGCACAATAATTAGAGTTTAACTTTTAGTGACCCTGAACCTCCCTGACTCCTGGCCTTCTCTTTCCTTTATCTTTACCCTCATTGGGAGCACAGTGTTCCCTTAAAATTTGAGTTTTACCCATCACATTTAGTAAAAACAGGGACGCCAGTAACCTCAGGACTTATCGGCCGTCCCCTTCCTCTGCCCCTGGTCTTTACCTTGTTCTCGATGCCCTCAGCCCCTTAATGTTCTTCGCTCTCTGCCCCTCTTTCTTGACCAGCACTCTTCCGCAACGCTCAACCCCTGAATTCTCTCATAGACCTACTTTTCTCCAGGTTGGCTGCTGAGATCTCCCGGTAGAACGGAGAGCTAGGTCAGTTCCCAAACAGGGAGACGAAGCCTTGTCAGAGTTCTGGTTGACCCTTACTTTTCAGAGACGTCTCAAAAAGTAAGGGAAGATCAGCTTCAAAACCACAAAGACCCGCCCTGACAAGGCTAATCCGGTGCTTCTGTCTCTACGGAGCATTTCTTCAGATCCGTTCTTGACAGAAGGAAAATGCAGTCAATACGAGAAGTAGGTATATAGGCCTGCTTAAGAAAACTTGCTTTTCCTGTTCGTTTTCACACTTCCGTCCCTATTTCAGCGGAGATTACGAGAGCCTGCGAGACGGATCATTTCTGTCCGGTATTCAGTTGCCGGGCAAAATTCTTTACCCCAATTTTAGTGGTTTTTCTTGATTTTAAAGCCGCATTCAAGTGGATTATTTATGGCTGTATGATGAAGCTGAGAAGTGCTTTGGTTGATGTGGTTGAAGCAACAATTGTGCAAATTCCGTTTGCGGGGTGTGCCCTTGGAATATTGTGCAAATTGGGTCGGAAGAAGTGGGGGAGGGGCGGCGGCTAAGAAAAGAGTCCGGAAGAAGAACATCCAGGAGAGGGGAGGGGAGGGGAGGGAGGCCGCAAACATCTGCCCCCAGAGATGGGGAGCTCTGCCCTGGTCTCAGATGCTCAGAAACTGGATCTTACTCGGGCTTGGAAGGTGAGAACTCTCTCTGATAGCCCAGCATAAGTAGAGAGAGCTGGGGTGCCACTACGCCCTGTTCCCCAGAAAAGAAAACATCCAGCTTTCCTCTCCTTGGTAACACCTTGAAAATGGCCTTCTGGGGGACCCTGGGTGGCGCAGTCGGTTAGGCGTCCGACTTCAGCCAGGTCACGATCTCGCGGTCCGTGGGTTCGAGCCCCACGTCGGGCTCTGGGCTGATGGCTCAGAGCCTGGAGCCTGTTTCCGATTCTGTGTCTCCCTCTCTCTCTGCCCGTCGCCCGTTCATGCTCTGTCTCTCTCTGTCCCAAAAATAAATAAACGTTGGAAAATGGCCTTCTGGAGACAATCTTTGGCAGGTTAAAAATAGAAACCGCTTGGATCATTCTAGCTGCAGCTGTTTGCGTTGGCTAGGTGTTGACTGGTCCAGGATAGAACGGCGATTTTGCGTTTTTGATCCGGGTTGAATTTAAGATGCATTATTTTCAGTATATGCCTACAAAACGTCTGTCTTGTAACTGTTGTGTAAAATAAACCTATTCTACGGTTTCATTTTTATCCTAAAAAAAAGTTGTGCCTTAACAATAGGGCATTGTATGTTAATAAGGGAAAACAAAATCTTTTTTTAATAGATGGGGAAAATAGGAACTTTTTGCCATTAAAATTTAAGTTCTTTTAACATTTTTAATATTAGAGTTGGGGAAAATTCATTAAAGTTAAATACAATTGATATAAAATTATTTTTGCATAATCTAGCATTTACAACTGAAGTGCGTTTTTATAAGAACTGGCATCTTGATGTATATAGGTCTGAAATGATACTTCATCCTTTGGTTTTTTCATTTGAACTGATACAAGACCAGGGTAAGGTACGTTTTGGTTTTTATTTGACTTTTAAATCATTTCAGTGTGCTATTGTATCTGTTCTGCTAGTCCTCTGAGTTGCTTTGGTTTCTAAAAATTAGCTATTTGTTCGTGGTACCATATCAATAATTTATTGATGCTAAAAAAAAAAAAATACTGTGTGTCACGTGACTTAAACCAGAACATTTCCTGGATTGAAGGGGGGAGGATGGGGGGGGGGGGGCTTCCGATTAGCAGTTACTAAGAGGACAAGAATTGAACTTTGTACTTCAAAAGAAGGTTTTGGCTTTATGAGGTGCTGTTTATGTGAGTTGTTTATTTTCATTTTATCAAAACCTGGCAGGTGTTAGCATTCCAATTTACTGTTGGTTTCTTTTTAAAAAAAATTATTTTTAAAGTTGGATGGTGAATTAATTCTGTGGGAAAATGAGGTTTATAAGTAGTTTGTTGTTGTTGTTGTTGTTTTGAGATAATACAAGCCAAACTTTTAGAAGTTAAAGCTGATGAATATTAAAACGTTACATACTGTGTTTGTACATGTTCCCTAAAGTATTATAATTAAGGTAATTTGTGTAAATCACAAAAGCAGAAACTGTGATGTTTGATTAGTAGTACGTTGCGTTAGAATTCCTCTTGGAGTATGTTCTATGCGTAGTAAGTTATTATTCAGGAGGGACGTGCTCATCCTGTATTTTTTTAAATAGGAAATACAGCATGCCAAAGTCCTTATTAGGTCGGTTTACCTACGGGGACTTCCATCTCTGTCCCCAGATTCTCTCTCGTCATCATTTATGCTGAATTGAGGAGGTAACGTTTGAGGACTTTAATATCACGTGTAAAACATGGACTTCTACTTTCGTGTAACATGATGTCTTCCATTGGCAGGAACCAAAGCTAGTCGTAGAGTCTAACAAGAGACACCCTGTTCTGCCATGATGAACTGCGGTGCTCCTGATGGATTTTCCCCCCATTTGATGATGTTACTTAAGCTACTAGAGGTGTATACACACGGGGTTGAGTTTACACTAAACTATGAAATGGTGTTTCCTGTTCATGTCCCTGCCTCTTCAAACTTTGCTTTCTTAATTGACTTGACTCCTGTGGATCTCTTCCTTGCAATAGGCTAACGTCGATGAGAAGGATTAAACTAAACATGCCCCTTCCCTTCGAATACCCCTTCCCTTTTGACACATTTAAACCTAAAGGGGAGCTAGTTCATTTGCTGTTGCCGAGACCTGCCTAGACCCCAGAGTTTTCTTTACTTGGCATGCTGTATCCTGCCTCACCCACACCGCCAAATTTCAGGGGGGTCCCGATTTTAATCTCTACTGAGAGGCAAACTCTCCTCCCTCCATGGCTTTAGAGCAGTTATTTTGTACCTCACCTGTAGCACTCATGGTTCTATGTGCTGTTGTAAACTTCTTAAGGACAGGGATTATGTCTTGGTGATTTTTGTATTTCCACCTCAGCCCCAGCAGCTAGCCCAGTGTCTTGAACAAATTAGGTGCTTAATGTATGTTGAACTGAACTGAATAAAGGGTTACTACTAGCATAAGCATTTCTCATGCCTCAGTTGTGTATGCTGATTGTTTTGTTAACTGCAAATATTTATGATTATCACCCCACGCACTAAATTAGTTTTAAAAGTTTTGCTTTCTTTCCTTCAGATGCTACCCCATGGACGTTTATCTCTAGAAAATGTGATTGCTTCCAACGAAATGACTATCCCAAACTCTCTGCCCCTGGACATACGTTGCCAAACTGAAATTTGAATTTTCTGAATAAATTGGTGATGTCTGGAAGAGATGGTGTGCTGCACCTGCTTTTTTCCTCTCTTTCTGTTTTTAAACTAGGGTAACATACATCCACAAATTTACCGTTCTAACCATCTGTAAGTGCACAATTCAGTGTCATTAAATACATTCACAACATTGTACAACCTCCACCACTGTGCTTTTGAAGAAGCCGTTCATCATCCCAAGCAGAAACTACCCATTGAGTCACTCCCCATGTCCCCTTCCCCTCAGCCCCTGGAACCGTCTGTCCTGCTCTTTCTATGAGTGCATCTGCTTTTGAACGCTTAATTTTCCGGGATTCTCGGTCTTCTCACACCGGGTACAGAAAAGGCGTCTGTATGAAAAGGGGCGTACAAGGCCAACAGCCATAACGGAAGTGTAACTTGCATTCTCCGATAGATGTGTTTAATTAAGGTGGAGGGAGGATAGAAAAAGAGCAAAAGAAGCAAAGACAACAAAATTGTGGGAAGGCAGTGATAGAAATCACAATGAGAAAGATCTCCAAGGCTTTTGTACTCCTCGAGTCTTAGAGATGATACAAAGAAGTCGTTAGCCTCATGTTATGAATTCGACGATTTCACATCCTTGACTTCTGTATCAGAAACATAGTGTTTGTTCATCTAAGAAATGAGAATTCTACATCCCAAGAAAAAAATTGGAATATAAGCCATTATTTTTAAAATTGTTTCTAAAATCTGAGCATTTTGAAAGCACAGAAACTTAAGGATAGTCGACACAATATCACATTAGGTTCAGGTGTACGAAACAGTGATTCTACAACCCTCTGCATAGTGCGGTGCTTCCCCACACGCATAGCTACTGTCACCATGTGTTGTTACAATACCCTTGACCGTGTTCTCTATGCTGTACTTTTTACCCTGGTGACTCAGCCCATAACTGGAAGCCTGTACCCCCCACTCTCCTTCACTGTTTTGCCGATTCTCCTACCCCTCCTCCCCTCTGGCAATCACATTCGTTTTCTATGTTTACGAGTCTGTTTCTGCTTGTCTGTTTTTTAGATTCCACACGAAACCATATGGTATCCGTCTTTCGCCATCTGACTTATTTCACTTAACATGATGCATTCTAATTCCGTCCATGGTGTCACAGATGGCAAGATGTCATTCTTTTTTTATGGCTGAGTAATAGTCCGTTGTACCCACATCCCACATCTCCTTACTCCATTTATCGATGACACTTAGGTTGCTTCCACATCTTGGCCATTGTAAAACGCTGCAATAAACAAAGGGGTGCATATATCTGCATTCCCACCGACAATGCGCAAGGGTTCCTTTTTCTGCATATCCTCACAAACAGCTGTCACTTCTCCTTTTGATATTAGCCATTCTCATGGGTATAAAATGATACCTCATTTTGATTTGCATTTCCCTGGTCATTAGTGATGTTGAGCAGCTTTTCATGTGTCTGTTGACCATCTGTATGGCTTCTTTGTAATAAGTTTTCTTCAGTTCCTCTGCCCATTTTTGTTTTTAAGAAACACTGAATGTTAGAGCTGGAAGGATCCTTTTTTAGTTTAAATTCCAGTATAACACATACTGTATAACATACAGTGTTATGTTAGTTTCAGGCGTACAATATGGTGAATCACCACTTCCATACATCACCTGGTGCTCATCACGACAAGTGCCCTCCTTAATCCCCATCACCTGTTTCACCCATCCCCCCAACCCACCTCCCCTCTGGTCACCAGCAGTTTGTTCTCTATAGTTGAGAGTCTGTTTTTCACTTTGTGTCTTTTCTTTGTTCTTTTTTTTTCCTTAAATTCCACCTATGAGTGAAATCACATGGCATTTGTCTTTCTCTGACTGGCTTATATAGTGTTTATACCCTCTGGCTCCATCCATGTCATTGCAAATGGCAAGATTTAATTCTTTTTATTTTTATGGTTAAATAATATTCCATTGTGAGTGTGTATACTGTATCTTCTTTATCCATTCATCTATTGATGGACACTTGGATTGCTTCCATAATTTGGGTATTATAAGTAATGGTGCTATAAACATAGGAGGGCATGTATCCCTTTGAATTAGCGTTTTTGTATTTGGGGGGTAAACACCCAGTAGTGCAATTACTGGATCATAGGGTAGTTCTGTTTTTAACTTTTTGATGAAATTTCCATACTTTTTCCCACAGTGGCTAACCCAGTTTGCATTCCTACCCACAGTGCCAGAGGGTTCCTTTTTCTCCACATCCTCACCAACGCTTGTTGTTTCTTATGTTTTTGATTTTAGCCATTCTGACAGGTGTTCAGTGATATCTCATTGTAGTTTTGCCTTACGTTTCCCTGAGGATGAGTGATGTTGACCATCTTTTCATGTGTCCGTTGGCCATCTGGATGTCTTCTTTGGAGAAATGTCTGTTCACGTCTTCTGCCTGTTTTTAATCAGATTATTTGGTTTTGGTTTTGTTTTGTTTTGTTTTTGGTTTGAGTTGTATAAGTTCTTTATATATTTTGGATATTAACCTCTCATTGGATATATTATTTGCAAATATCTTCTTCCATTCAGCAGGTTGCCTTTTTATTTTGTTGGTTTCTTTGTGCAAAAGCTTTTTAGTTTGATGTAATCCCAATAGTTTTTTTGTTTGCTTTTGTTTCCCTTGCCTGAGGCGACAGAAGTAGAAAAATGTTGCTAAACCCAATGTCTAAGAGATTACTGCCTATATATTTTTTTCTAGGAGTTTTATGGTTTCAGGTCTCACATTTAGGTCTTTTGTTCACTTTGAGCATATTTTTGTGTATGGTGTAAGAAAGTTCAGTTCCATTCTTTTACATGTAGCTGTCCAGTTTTCCCAGCACCATTTGCAGAAGAGACTTTTTTTCCCCATTGTGTATTCTTGCCTCCTTTGTCATAAATTAATTGACCATATAGTGTGGGTTTCTTTCTGGGCTTTCTATTCTGTTCCATTGATCTGTGTGTCTGTCTGGTGCCAATACCATACTGTTTTGATTGCTATAGCTTTGTGTAGCATACCTTGAAATCTGAGATGAGCACAGAAACATTTTTTAAATGTCTCAGCTCTTTAGTAACTTCAAAGATTATGTTCTTTCTCCCTTTTAACTCTTTTGGGAGGCTCTTCGTAGGAATATCATTTCAGAGTTTCCAAAGCTCTTCAACGTGGATTCTAGTTTCCCCAGAAGAGGGGCCACCCTGTGAGTGTCAAATACCACCTGATGTTTCAGAAATCATATATGGTTTTTTGTTTGTTTGTTTTGTTTTGTTTTGTTTTGTTTTGTAATTTCTGAGACTTTTAACTAGTCTCATTCAGTTTGGAGCTCAAACGATGGAGAAACAACAACAACGACAAAAACCATGATTCACAGTGAACGATGGAGTCCAGCACCTCCCATGGTCTCCATTTGCTCTCTGGAACTTCTGTCTCTTCCTCCCAGCCAGTGCAGTTTACCAGCCAGTCGTGCTTTGGGGATTCACACGAGAACATCAGGAAATGAAGGAGTTCATCTTGTTGGACAGCGGGCAGCGTGGTTTCTCTCCCCAACAGGATTTCTGATCATGAAACAAGATTTCCACAGCTCTGGTGGGAGTTCTTCCCAGATAAGTGCTGGGTCAGATCTTATTTCACAGTAGGAATACAAACAGCACATTTGCGGAAGTTGTTCTTTCTGTGTTCAGTGAATTTAGTTCTCTAGGCTGGATTAAGATCTTTGGTTACATCAAATCTCCAACTGGCAGAAGACCAGAGCTCATTCTTCAAAGAGAACAGTGTCATGGAAAATATTTTTCAAAGTGGATGTAATTTTGCCTAAAGCAGCTGTTGGTAGGTAAGCAGTGGAGCGTCATGGGGCGGGAGGAAAACGATCTTTCTCGAATCTGCTTTTTACTCCCTGGAGAAGTGATACGACATTCTTCAGTGTGTCAAACGGTTGTTTTGGACGGCAAGCCAAATCCGTCCTGGAAACCTCAGTGGATTCAATATCTCCACAAAAGGAAACATTTAAAATTGTAAAGTATGCCAGACAACAAAAATGATCCTGCAACTCACAGCAAGAGCTGCATCTCCAGTAGTGATAAGGTCACGTCTCAGCCCTGGACCCCTGGAAAGTGACAGGGGTAGATGTGCTACACGAGTGGCCCCCGTTTAACGCAACAGTTCGGTCACTGAGCCGTGTCGGAGACAGGAGTGGGGAACTTCCAGAGATGAGTTCTGGTAGGGAAGTTCACTGCCCGGACTCTGGTGCAGCCCCGCTTACGTCTGAACACCCTTCTGCCTCTTAGTAGCTGCGTGATCTTGAGCAAGGGGCTCCGCTGTGAAGGGGCATACCGGGACTACGGTCCACAGGGCTGCGGCCACGATGAAATGAGATAAAATGCAGAACAGCCTTGAACAGCCATGCAGGCCCTGACGGATGCACACTCCTCCCTGCCGCCGACCTGCCCCGGGGCGCCCCCCCCCCCCCCGAGATTTTCTTACAATGGTCTGATCTGGAGGCCTCTGCGCCATGCTGTATTTACTTGGCAGGACTCTCTTGCTTTCAAGAGGCAAAAATGACCTTGAATTAAGCTGAGCGGAAGATGATTTACTGGCTCGAGTGTCTGAGAAAGACAAAGGGATGAGAAGGTGGACCATTGAGAAGATGTAGCCATTTCTCCCCACCCCCTCCTGGGCTCTATCTGCCGGCGTGTTGGGTTCATCCTCTCCTGTAGACTGACTTGTTCTACAAAATGGAGGACGTAGCTGTCTGTGAGCCAAGATCCACACACTCTTCCAGTAGGCCCCACATGCACACAACAGTCTTCTATGCTTTGCTGACTTTACCGGAAAGGACAGTGGTGGGATTGGTCGGAACGCACGCCCTCACCTATCCTAAACTCTCCGTCCAAGGGCCAAGGCAGGGTCTGTCAAGGAAAGGAAGAGGGACGCCTGGGTGGCTCAGTTGGTTAAGCATCCGACTCTTGATTTCGGCTTAGGTCATGATCTCACGGTTCGTGAGATCAAGCCCCGTGTCTGCCTCCGTGCTGACACTGAG